AAATCTTTTTAAATAAGGTCTGTGGTTTTCATCCATTTGTTTTCATGTCTAGGGGTACCAAGTCAACTTAGGTCTTATTCAGTTTACGTGTCCACAGTACATTTAACAACATTGCTGCCCATTCCCCCTCCATTATCTCACTCTAGTCTTTACAGAAATGTGTCTAACCCTGTCCCCTGTACATAAGTGCTGATGCTCTTCGTGACCTATAGAGATAATATGTAGACTCCTATCTGGCATCCAGGACCTTCAACCCCCTGCTTCTACCCTATCTTGCTGCTTCTCCTGCTCAGATCCTCTTCCTAGATGATTGAGTTTGGGTGGGTTCAAACCCATGAATATACATGATTCTTTATCTCTTCTAGATTTCTGGGGTTACTTTTGCACTATATATGTGAAAAGAAAGGACACTGTTCAACCATGATGAGAAAAATTATTTTAGAACTGACTTTCTCAAATCTGTTTGAAAAAAAAAAAAAAAGGAAAAAAAAATCCTCAGGAAACACCATAAGAGCTCCATCGGGAAGGACCATGCCACAGGATGGGAGTGAGCACCATCCCCATTACAGCTCTTCTGAGTTTATTTATTTATTCATTTTTATTATTTTAAATGAATGAATCCTTGGAAAGAAAGAAGATTTCTTTTTTTCAGAGTAGCTAAGAAAAGACTGTGTAGCCTCAATTACAGCAGAGTGAAAAAATTCTAATAAGTGGCTATTATTTTCTCATAAAGTCTTATTATGATGCCAACTACTTCAACRTTTACAAGTCCGTAAAGGCTAATCTTTCTTTTTACTGTGTCTTCAATGAGCAGCCCAAATGAAAATGCAACTGTTTTCTCTACGTAAAAGGCTTCTCTGAGTACAAGGCACCTCCTGACCTAGAATGATCACATCTTCACCATAGAAATATTTCTGTCCATATAATATTTGGAATCCCCAGGCATATTCTGGATATTAAGTAATAATGATAGTTGTATTAAAGGTCACTTTAAGAAATTTAAAATGCCTTGGCAATAATTCCAAAGAGGGTCGGGCTTCTCAGAGGCAGTTGCAGAAGTGAGGATTCATGTGGGAGTGCTTTATGAGGAAGGTGCTCTCAAGAGAGACTGGTAAGGGAGCAGGGAAGCAGGTCAGGGGAAGGGAGCAAGCCACACTTGCAACTTTCCAGAAAGTTCTCTGGAGAGAAACCTTCACCTTATCCCACAGAATCTCTGAACATAAATTACATATTTCACTGCAAGGGAACTAGGTTTTCATATTCCTGGGTGTTATCAGTTACCATCCAGGCAGGGGCTGGAGGTTATGGTGGTAGGTATAATTCCCACATACTTCTGGCTTCCTGTGGCATCAAGTAAAGTTCATGCACTATCCCAAGAAAAAGAGTCACACAGCTGTAAACTGTTGGAGGCAAAAACCCATTTCAAGGATGGGAAGGGATACAGGAGAAGGGACTTGAAGGAGTCTTGTCAAAGCACCCATAGCATCCATTGAAGAATACTTCTGATGGCCTAGAACCAAAAATTCTCATCCCACTTTATAATCTAGTCAATCAATAGTTATTAAGAATAGTGACCACAGGCATGTTACTAACTTCTCTTTGACCCAGCTTCTTCCTCAAACATACAGAAATACCTAATTTGGGGTTCTAAGGAATATCACCCAATATAACACATACAATATTTTAATCAGTGTACATTGCAAAAGAAATGAATAATTACAAATTTATTTTTTTAAACTCCTTTGTATTTAGTATCACAATTTAAAATTCGTCAATGGGCTTCTCTTAGTGCCATAATAAATTTGAGAGATTCAAATTATATACACAAAATAAAAGAAAATAGAACTTCGTAATACATAGTAGAAAAACCCCTATAACTTGTTTTGACTCCACTTTAGGAAAAATTAGAAGCATGAACAACATCTGAATTTCTCATTTTGCATCATTTTAAATTCTTAATTCATCTATAGGTCAGGAAGACCTAGATCTTTTGTAAGATTAGTTATGGAAAAAAAGCACTGACAGAGTTTGGTGGAAAGAAATTGTAACAGAAAACACAGTCTTATAAAACTTCCTAGAAAAAGAAAAAAGGCATTGTAGAAATATTTTATTAGCACTGAGATAACATTAAGTTGAACCATATAAAAGTCACCAGTTCGTAAAACCCTTTTGAGCTACAAAAACAGTAACTTCATATCATTCAACCTGATACAAAAAGTCTATTGGGAGCCAGTTCTTTATGGATTCCTTTTCTTCTACACATCCTGCTAGCCATGTTGAGAATGCAAGACTCTGACCACTGCTTACCTGGAATTTTGTTTTGTTTGCTGCAAACAGACCAGCTTGCATGAAGAGGAAGTTTCTGTCTCTGGAATAAAGGTTAGGCTTGCCTACTGCTTGCTATAAAAGCAGTGGATTTCCAAGCTCATGTTTCTCTCTTGCCACATACTTCTCTGAACATACACAAGGCATTTGAGCTCTTTCCATTATCCTTTTGGAACTTGGGAGCAAAGGGAACCAAAGTAGATGTACCAGGGTTTATGATGCTTAATGTGCCATGAGAAATACTGTCCATTTACTCTGACCCAGGAGTTTTATGCCTTCTGCTACATCCATAAAACTGTAGCAAGCTGAAGTAGGGTAATATTAAATCCCAGACAAATGCACAGAACAGGACATTCTAAAGATTGATTAGTTGGATTAGTGGTGAAGTTTTCCCAAATGATAACTATCTTAGACCAGAAAGTAGAAAACATCCTTAAGAGAGATCAAGTGTGGTCATTCACCTTTCTATCCTTGTTCTTAAAGGAATTTTTTTACATTGAGAGAGAGAGAAAAGAAAAAGGAAAAAAATAAAACATCAGGAGAAACAAAAAAAATTGGTCATGTCCCCCAATACCCTGAACCCTCAGAGGGTATAAAGTTGGAAGCAAAGGTTGTGTCCTGAAGTCAGAAAAAATTCATGTGGGAAGTTTCAGCAAGGTGATGGGTTTGAGCGTCTATCTGTTCTCTTCCAACATTTTTTGCCCATTAGCTCAATCATTAGACATCAAATAATAAACTTAGTAGTTAAGGCTCTTTTAGTACGCAGAGGCCCAAATTATTAAAGAAAGAAAGAAAGAAAGAAAAAGACCTTGGAAGCCAAAGCACAGGGTAGATTAAAATTAATAATTCATGTCTCTATGCACAGCTCCCCTGCTTTCTTCTTAAATATGGCGCTGAGTGGTCCTGCTAGTTTCCTTTTCTAGGCTGACCATTGATGAAACCTAACCATTTTCCCTGACAATGCCCCAACAATGCCACAATTGTGGAGCTGGTATTTTTATGTTAATAGCTGTTCTCTGATTCATTAAGCCCTATTGCCCCTGACATTTTCCTTTCTGACCCTTATCAGCCACACACTAGCAAGACATGAAGAAATAAAGAGGACAAAGAGAGGTAATAAAAGGGTTACAAACCAAGAAGTGTATTGTGACTGTGACCAACAAGGAAATTTGGAAATGGGTGACTGAACACCCAAGGATGTCCTGTCAGCTAGTCACAGCTACATCTGTTCAAAACCTGACAAKTGCTTAGCACCATTTCAAGGTGTCACATAGAGATACATAGCAAATGACAGTCATGGATGTTACTTTAAGAGCACTTAAAATTTAATAGATGAGATAGCTCAATTAAATGCCTATATATCCATAAACAATCTGGCCCTTGCTTGCCTCTCTACTTATTCTTTATTTCTTTCATAGCGTGTGTCACAACCTGCAATACTTAGGTTATTTATTTGTGTTCTTGCTTGGTGTGGCTTCCCTCGAGCTGGGATTTGCCTGGTAGGAGGCAGAGCATCCATCCCAATTATTTACGACTGCTACTCTGGATCTTACGCACAGGAATATAAATTCCAAATAAACAGGGACCATACCTACCTTACTTACCATTGTCATCTCAGGACCAAGGAAAGTGCACCTAGTAGAATCTCAAAACAATTTTTTAATAAGTAAATACCAAAAAAAAGAGAGCAACACCTATATAGAGACATCATATAACTTTATCTTCTGAATGCTGCTGCTAATCATTAATACAAAATCAAGGGAGAACCTGATTCAAAGACATAAGAAAAAAATTGAAAGAATTTAGATGAGAAAAAAAAGAAATCCCAAGACCCAGGAAATCTATTCCTATTTCATTTTCCTTAGTGAATATTGAGATCATAAATCAGAAAAAAATTAGTAGAACATGAAAGATCCTATAAGAATCTCATCATGTGACCTTTAATTAGACTTCAAGAGCAGTGGGGTTCTGCTGGTACTCACAGACTTTTCAAGGTTAAAAGCAGGATAAGACTCATAATAACCTCGTTGAATCATCCAATTTAACTCAGTCATCCCAACTGTAAATGCTAAACTAGTGAAGTTCAAGGGTATGGCACTAAACACCAGATAGAGTAATTTCATTGATGACCCTTAGATTTTCTTTCCTTGCATCGTGCTTTTTTTTTGCCCCATGTGCCTTCCTTTGACCAATGAGATGTTAGCAAATATGATGGATGCAGAAAAGTGCCTGCACACTGGCCCATGCTCTCCTTTTGCTTTCTCCTTCACTATAGCCATGAGGACAGGCCTGGACTAACCTTCTGGAGGAGAAGATACATCAAACATAGCTATTGTTCCTCATCCCAGCTGAGGCTATCCCAGACCAGCTGAAAGAGTTAGCCTTCCAAAGTTCAACCAGCTACCTGGGCAGTCACCATAGACACGTAATGAGCACAGCCAAGATGGCAGCACTTCCTTGCTGGCCTATAGATGTGTACATTGCTGAGTTTTAGAGGGGTTTGCATCATTATTGTAGCGACCTAATAACAAACTCTTATAGATTAATAAAAATTAATTACCGGTAAAATAATACTAAAGGCAAATATGTTTGTTCTTTATTGAATTCGGTATTTATAGTTTAGAGGTTTGGTTTCTCTAAAACTGCACACATCTTCCCTCTAACCACATCTACATCACTGGTGCTGAGCAGGCCTGAGTAGGACGCACTTAGAGAAGAGATATGAAAAGCCACAGCAGGTTCAGCAACACAGTGGTAGATGTCACCTTTGCAGCAGTGTTGGAGAGCCAGTATTTTGCATATACATCATCCAGGATCGAGAGCACAGCCTCCATGGCCTCCTCACAGGTGGGCTGGATCTGAGTTTCATGCAGAAGAAACCCCTCGGTACCATTGTCCCTCAGCTCAAATGTGTATGAGTAGGGGATCCCGATGTCTCGAGCCCAGTCTCTTGAAGACCCTGATGTGGGATCTGTAAATGAAAACATGAAGACAGAAGTAGAAATCTCACTTGTAAAGGACAKATTTCCTAGGGAATAAGAGCTCAGTCAATATAAAAAGGGAGTGGTTTCATTAAGAGTTCCTGGAGATCTGTCTTCTCCATCTCCTGATGGGCTGCCCCTACACTGCAGGGACTGTGTCTTATTTAGCCCGTCTGCTCCCATAATCTGGCCCTGCACCTGGCACATAGCAGAGGTTTGGTTGGAGCTTCTTAGCTGAATCAGAGTCTAGTTAATCTCATAGCAAAAGGCAAGAGTGAACTGATGGGAACAGAAGTAAAATGACCCACAAGAAAACTATGATGCAATATGATGTAGGTGGGATGCCAGAGGGCAGAGGAAGTGGTGGTTGGGGCTGGGAGAAGCAATACCCTCTTTTTGCAACTAAATTCTTTTCTTTTAGTTTCTTTCTCCAGGACTCATTCTGCTCTGCTTTCTTAGCTTGATGGAATTGAATTAACTGGCCAAGGGTCAGTGTACAATATCCATACTGTTAACTCCTGTGCTTTCTAACTTGCCAGCTCTTTTTAACTGGAGCCAGAGAGTCTCTGGTCTGAGACTGTATTATTTTTCTTTAGTTCATACCTTATCCCTAGAGGGTATAATTCTGGACTTGAAGAGGTTCCCTTTTATCCTTGGTCATTTTTATTTGTACAACTCCCTGTTGATCCTAGGAGCTCTTCTATTCCTCTCCTGCCCATCTCACCACCCAAACTCCATTGATTTCTTTTGTGCCTTAGATACTACTGAGAAGGAAAAAAAAAAAGATACTTACATAAAATATCTGCACTTGATCCAACTCTATAATTGGTTCCATGCTTTGCTTTCAATGCATTTGCTGCCTTCTGTCCAACTTGAATCTGTAGGTGGGAAATGCAGAGACAGATATCTGGTGTTAAAAATAAATCCGACAATCCAAGCGTTTGGTATTTTGTCCAGATCGATCTGTAGAGTTTTAGATCATCTTTCCAACTTCCCATTGAATATAAACATCTGGGTAGCCTGTTGGTATCTCAGATTAAAATACTCACTTTCAATTTCATCATTTCTCCCACCAATAAGACTGTTCTGACTTTACTATTTCTGGCATTGCATGCTCCTTAACAAACACAGAAAATCCTGCAATATCTTTGACTCTCCTTCTCTCAGTTACCAATTTTCATTTCCAGTACCATGACCATATGTCAGGCTCATTASCTGAACTGGTCTGTTGCTTCTTCTAATAAGTTTCTCTTTCTCTCATCAATCCTTATCCCAATTTATTCCACCTGGCTTCCAGATGAGTAGAGTCATGATCATGATCTTGCTGAAAAGCTCCTAATAACTCCAGATTGCTCACTGAATTAAGTACAAATGTCTTAGTCTAGTTTTTGAGATCCTCTACAGTATGGCCCTAACCCAGATTTCCAACACCATCTTCTGGACATCTACCCTAGAGTATAGTCAAACTCAAATTTCCCCTGGGTTCCTCAGTCTCTCTACTTTTCCTCAGGATGTTCCCTCTCTCTGGGATCTCTATCTGTTTAAATTCTACTCAACCTCAAAGGGCTTTCGAGATGCCAACTTCTCCATAGAGATTTATCTGGTCACCCCAACTGGATTTCATCTTTCCACACTTCAAATCTCCCAAAGCCTTTTGTCCACACCTCTCTTATGAGTCCTCTTATTTTTCTTTATAGATATTTGATGACATCTCTCATAAAARTTTCTGAGCTGGAAGGCACATTTGTCCCTGTACCCACCATGTCACCTTACTTCACTGGAAATTCCTTAGAAACAGATGATTTCTAAGGTCTCAACCTTATTCCCTGCAGACCCTTTCCTGAGATCAGTTACTGAGGTCTGAGTCTATTGGCTGTGCTTATTGGCATTCTGATAAATCCTACTGCATAGATCTGTCCTCACTCAGACCCTCTAAGTATTCCCCACCCCAGATTCCTCCATGTTATATTCCACCCACCAAATGGTGCATCCCAATACTTTTTCTAGATTTTACAAAAACACCACCAATCCCTTGTCACTCCTGCCTGTACTATGATCCACCATTGTTTTAGTTGTGCTTATAGATGCATCAGCTCTCCTGACTCTCACTAATGCTGGGCCTAGTTTGAGATGCTGACTTTCCTTTCCTGGCTCTGCACTGCCCAGATGAATGCCAAGATGTGACAGAGGAGTACTTGGGTGGAGTGAGGAAAAACCCAGGAAAATTCAAAAGGAAGAATAAAAAAGGCAGTCAGTGGTGGTGTTGGTGGTGGTCGTGGTGTGTCTGTGTCGTATGCAGCAGCTGTGGACAGCATCCTTTGGGAACTTTCTGGGTCTGGCTAAATTAAAAGAAAAATTTAAAAACATGTTAACCTGAGCATCTCTGCAAACTTGTTACCTTTTCTCCACTCACCCCTGAGAATTCTACCTTTGCTCATGCACCTGCTATCTCTCTCTCTTTCCCCCATCATTCTGAGTCTGCCCCAACTTCTGGGTTCGTGTTGCCTAAAACTCAGATAATGGGTAGGAAAGGCTGAAGATCTACAAGGTATAAAGCTTGTTTAATCGCTTACAGTGTAGAAAGAAGAGAAACTTATAAGACGGAGGGGAGACTCAGAAAGAGATCTCTAGGGAGAAAAACGCAAGCAAGGAAATGACCGTGAAGGGTGGAAAGGATGCGGGAGCCGCTGTGTGATGCAGGGGAGAGCAGGAGGCCTGGGGAAGCACCACTGTGATTTTTACCAATGACATCTTTCCTGAGTTCCTTGAGAGTTGTCTAGCAGTGATATAAATTGTTTTCAATTATTTTTAATTCCTATGTGTGTCCTGTTTCTTTGAATGAAACTCCATATCATCTGATCCATGGTGGGCCTTACCTTTCACTTGGGATTCATGGATTAGCCCCAGGCTACATTTTCAATCCAAATGATTCCTTACTTCCCCTCACCCTGAGCTTACCCCAGACAATCATTTCTTCTTTCCATTGCCAGCCTTATGTTATTCTCTATAGTTCCTTTTCCTCAAATCCTGGCTGTAGGGTAGGAAATAGTCTTCCCAGAAATAGTCTTCTCCCCCATCTTTACATACAAAAAACCCAAAACTTTTGGACTTTATTTTTTTTAAAGAATTTTCCGGGCTGGGGATGTGGCTCAAGAGGTAGTGCGCTCGCCTGGCATGCGTGCGGCCCAGGTTCGATCCTCAGTACCACATACAAACAAAGATGTTGTGTCTGCCGAAAAAACTAAAAAATAAATATTAAAATTCTCTCTCTCAAAAAAGAATTAAAGCTCCAAATTATTTTTTAAAAAAAGAATTTTCCACTAGTAATTATTATGGGAAAGCAGATAAGGGAGATATATATATATATATATATATATATATATATATATAAAATTTATTTATACCATATATCATATTTAAAAATATATATCATATAATATTATATGTTTCATATATATATACATTTATGTATATATGTTTGTATACATATATATGTATATATATGTTTGTGTGTTTATATATATTTTTGTGTGTGTGTTTGTGTGTGTGTACCCACAAATATGAAATGGTCCTCAGCTTATAAATCAGGTGATTTCCAAGAAGATGCTGTGGAATCCCCCGGACTTTTGACTTCAATTTCCGTCTCTAGGGTGGAGCTCTGAGTATACTTCTCTCTCCTGTATTGCAAGGCCATAGAGATTCAATACCTCTGTGGCCCTTCTCAGTTTAAAAGTATTTCCTGGTAAAAATGATAAAAACTCCTTTGCCAGTAGAACATGATATACACTCTAAAGACCTCTATAGCCTGATGGGCAATTCCTTCTCCAGGCCTAGAGAAATGCCTGTAAGCATGTATTCACAGGCAGGTGTATGATTAAGGACCTGGCATGTGCAGAGAAGAACCAGAGCTTGGGATGTTATAAAGAGGTTTATATGAAAATAATTAAAGTGGAAATAATGGAAGCATGTAAAACATTAGAATTCTTAGAGTTATTCTAATTGCCAGAGCAGTTTAGAAAAGGAGCTATATATAGTAATGTTTCCCCTACATAGTGATTGCCAAAATGTCTGTCATGGAGTGTAATATTTACCATGATTTCCAAAAGTTTTTGGTTTTGTAAATACAGATAGATTAATTGCTAGTCTTTGGTGATTGTAAATAATGTTAGAAATGAAAATCTCTTTGGAGCAGTTGGCTTGATTCTGTGTCTTTGTTCAAAGCTTACCTACCCTGACAACATAAAAGTACCACTAAGTGGCTTCAATAAGGTTGAAGCATGATTGCTAATTTTTCACACTGAAAAACGAATTATGGAAAATTCTTAGATTAAACATTTATGTGAACTYTTCAGCACCTGGGACTGTAAGAGATACAAGAGAATTTTCCAATTTCTATGTTTAGTACTAAGGATTTGCTATCATTCTTGTCTTAGAGTTACCACCTCTAGTGTCAGCATGATTGCCCCAAGTCTCTCCTGACTTCTTACGAACTCTATAGCCTTTGTCACTGGGATCTAACCAGATAACCTGTCAGTAACACAGGCCTTCTAACCTTTGAATATAGACCTTGCAAAATAGTCATGTAGTATCTGTCTTCCTGAGCCAAAAAGAGAAGGAAGAAAAGTACTGGGGTATATAAATGCTGGTGGAAAGCCATTCCCACCAAAGATCTTTCTGTTGGTGAAGACCCCCTTCCCATTAAGGATCTATAATGTCTTTGGAGAGTCCCTTGGCTTTGTCACAACTCCTTTGAAGGAGAAAGTAGAAATCTACAACTAAAATCACAGAAACTGAGGATGTAGAAGTTTCTGAGCTTCTTGACTGAAATCTCTGCTCTGTGTATTTCTTTACTGAAGAAACTTCCAGGGCTTATCGATGAGGAAGAAATGGCACATAGTTGACTGGGACTCTAAATTATCATTGCTGCTAAAAGTTGTGAACTCTTTCTGAATAGAGAGAGACAGTGTAAGAATAATGGCACCAAGGTGGCCGTGGGAGTCCAGCTGGGCCTCCACCATTTCCTGTCTATAGGGGTCTGCAAATACAGTTATCCCAAGGTCTCAGTCTCTACATCTCCAAACTGAGATTATTTTGTTGTTATAAGGATCAACTGAGATAGTGGCTGTAAAATCCCTTTGTAAATAGTAAAGATCTAGTCAAATGTGGGTTACTTCCACTGTCTACAAAATGACTGCAATACAAGTTTTCCTGGACCAAGGGAGGAAAAGTTATTGTACAAAAGGTTCTGGAGTATTGCTGGATATTTTTAACTGGTGGTAGAAGGTTTCCCTCCAATAAAAATCTGTAGTGGGTTTTCCTTTTGTATCCAGATCTTGTGTTTTATGGGTCATCTTCCAGTAAAAAAGGGTCAGGAAGCATAACATAACCAGCAGGCCTCTGAGATAAGGCTATCTCACATCCATTCCAGCATTTGCACAGAATGAGGGGCTTCTTGAACAGAAAATAACAAGCATTAGCAAGAACATGGAGAAAGTGAACTCTATGCATTGTTGGTGGATACATAAAAATGGTGCAGCCGCTATGGAAAACCATCTAGTGTTTCCTCAAAAAGTTAAACATGGAATTATATGATCTGGCAATTGCACTTMTGGATATATATCCAAAAGATTTAAAAGCAGGGTCTTGAAGAGATATTTGCATACCCATACTCATAGTAGCATTATTTTCAATATCTGAAAAGCGGAAGCAACCTAAGTGTCCATTGGTGGATAAATGGATAAGCAAAACATGACCTATACATATGATGAAATATAATTTGGCCTTAGAAAGAAAAGAAATTTTGACAACATCCTACAATACAGATGAACTCTGATGACATTATACTAAGTGAAATAAGTCAGCTATAAAAAGACAAATACTACATGGTTCCATTTATATGAAGAATCTATGATAGTCAAACTCATAGAAACAGACAGTGGAATGGCAGTAGCCAGGGACTGGTGGTAGAGKGAAACAGAGAGTTGTTGTTTAGTGGGCTTCAGTTGCACAAGATGAAAAAGTTCTGGCAATTGATTGCACACCACTGCGAATACTCTGGTCTCTACAGTTAAAAAAACGGTTAAGATGGTAGATTTTCTATGAAGTGTACTTTATCACAATTAGAAATTGAAAAAAAGAATTAAAAATAAAAATAGTAAATATTACAACAATTGTGTATGTGCCCTCCCTTTGTTTTGTGACTATTGTCCTCAGGTTTACAAAAGAGCAAAAAATCCACTTCTTTTTAGCAGTTCTGCCCACCAGGGCTTGGGTAAACTGCCTCAGAAAGGAACGTGGATAAAACACAAAAGAATTTTCCTGCACCAGCTTGCCTCTTGTTGGTACTTCCCCTTACAGATATTCCCCGGCAAATGATGTAGAAAGAGTTTAAAAGAAAATAGAGAATTGTGTTTAGCAGAGAAGAGAGCAGATATTATTTAGCCGTGTTATTCCAGATATGCCATATTCCACTAACAGCTGGCAACTTCTTTAAAGCTTGGTTCAAGAGCTGTAATTGCCGATTGGAGCTTCAAGAGAATTTACAGAAACGAAAGCTCGTTTCTGCAGATTATTAGCATAATCATCTCATTTATATTATAGGCGAATACCTAAGATGTCTCCCAACTTGACACTTTATGAAACAGGTAGTTAATTAATGTAGGTAAAGCAGCATTTAACCCAAAGCCTTCTCAGCAGGCATCTGGCAAGGAACGAAACACAGAAAGAAAGAAAATAAGGACGAGCAGAGAGAAGACGAGGGAGGCTGCAGGCTCCCTTGCAAAAAGAGACGAGGAAAAGGAAAGCAGAGGGCCTCCTTGGGTTTCTCTGGAGACCATAGGGCTGTGCTGTGGGCTTACCAGTTCTTTGTGGTTACTTGGTTTATTTTTGGTGTAGCCATACGGAGTGAGGATGAGCTGCCCGTAAGAGTGGATGGTCAAGAAGCACAAAATGTCTTCCTTCTTGCTTTCTACAAAACTGGAGACAGCTTTAGTCTCTGGTTCAGACACTGGTTCTGTCCCACAGAATGTTAAATCTTGGCAGTTTTTGGAAGCACCAATACCTGTGAAAGTACAAGAAACGACAAAGAAGCCTTCATGATCTCCGTCTGGAAATGAATGAAGGCAAAGAGTCATCCTTGCTTGGGGCATCTGTGGGTGGTATTAAAACTTGACCTTGGTTGACTAAGTCAATCCCGAGTAAATCAGTCGGCTTGGGTAGTCACCGAGGATGATCAGGCAAGAAGCAACTCAGAAAGGCAGGAGGCCTGACATTAGGATTTAGAAACCAAGTCCATGGCCCAGGAGAGAGAGTGCAAAAATGAAATGGCATTTCGGTAATCTTTCACTTAAACCTGAGGTGGAGCCTGAAACAAATGTTTGGGAATCAGTCTCCAAGTGCCTAAGTCTGATTCTGATAATTTTCTTGGCCTAAGTCGCTCCTTCAGTGTCTTACTGGCTTAAGTCTCATTAGAGCTATTTTGCAAGGATGTAAGGAGTCCTCCTTATTAACAATAATAAAGCTCATTAATAAAACTCAATCAAGTTGAGCACCTCTTACATGCTCGGTCTGCACCCAGCCTCTCCTATGTAGCATCYCATTTAATCCTCATGGTGACCTTCTGATAAAGTGGGATTATGGTGACTCACATTTTACATAAGAGAAAATTAAAGCAGAAAGATGAAGTGATTTTTTTTTTCCAAGACCACTCAGCTGCCAAGTCTGAATATTAACCCTTGCCATCTGGTGAGTGGTGATGCTCTTAACCATTCCTGCCTCTATCTGCTTCCAATTCTTTGGGCAGACTGAGATTTGGAAACATAATAGTGCCATAAGGAGAAGAAAATGTTTGCTTTGCTTATTGCCACCTCCCTGCTGTACAATAATCTCCAAGGATAATGCTCTGGGTTTTCTTTTCTTTATGATGATCTAAATATCTTCAAACAAAGTGAAGAATTTTAGATATATCTGTACTGATCTAGGTCTGCTTTGTCCTTGTTTAACTATCTGCACTTGAAGAGAGTCCTGTACATGAGTGTCAATGACTCTTGCTATAGACATATAATGTYAACTCTTGGAATAAAACTGGACAGAATGCTCAGAAAGCGGTACAAAATTTTTAAAAATGATATCTTTAGTAATTCACCTCACTCCTTGTTTCTCGCCTCTTTTTCCCCTCCATCAATTCATCCAGTAGATATGTACTTACTACACCAGGACACATTGAAATTTCGATTGAGATCCGATCCAAAACATGTGCCATTATTGTGGGATGAACGGGATTTCCTCCAAAGACGATCCTGTAACAGAGGAACCAAAAAGGATGTTGCCATTCCAAGGCTTCATAAATCACAGTGTTAGTGGTGACAGGTGGTCCTTGAATGTGAAAAATGTTTCCTAGGATTATCTGGAAAAACTTGCTTTTAACATGGCGAAGCCTATGCATGTAATTTTTAGTCTGGAAGATGGACTAGCAACCCCCAATCATAGAAACATCTGTACAACCAAAAGCATGCAAATGTGTAAACAATCAAATTGAAGGAAGTAGTTTGGCTTTTTCCTCTGGAGCAGATCAGCTGCGCCTGTGGACGTGACCCGCTTACTCAGAGCAAGTCTCCGAGTCATTTTTAAGGGCTGAGTGATACAGGATGAAAGGGAAATAGCTTGACAGATGGAAAAAGGCTGTTCCAGGTGTATCAGAGATGGTCTCTGCACGTTTCTGGAAGCAGATGACTGATGAGGGGAGATGGAGAGAAAGACAAGTTTCACCAGCCAAGCTCAGAGGGAGGGACTCAATCCACACAAAGGCAAGAAAGTCTGTTCCAGAGACAGAGACCCCTCCCGCCCCAAGGGACTTTTGGGGAGGGGAGCAGAGGGAGGAAGAGTGCTCTCTAGAAAGAGGGAGTGACAAGCTTTAGAAACATTGTCAGGACAAAGCTGTCTATGATCTACTCCACAAAAAGACCTCATGGGATGTTTGCCCTTCCATGAATGATCACATGGAGAAATAYAGCTTTGTTTAGTTTTTATTAATCATTTATTTCCTTAAGCCTCCAGTACTGATCTGAGGTAGATTGGTACATAAGTTTTATATCCATATAATTCTAACTGGGKGATGGGAAATTCAAAAACATCATGAAGATAGTCAAGGAGAAAMTTGGACTAGAAAATTGGGAAGGTGTCAGAAACCAAGAAAATACCCTCCCTGCTAGACTTCAACTCCAAGAAGGCTGTAGGTTTCCTCAATCTTAAAATTGACTTTGACTCTTTGATTAAAAAAAATGTTTAGCTGATTTTTATCCCATGTGGTTTTTCTTTATTTACATGGGTACCACGTATTTTTATAGCTAGAACAGGGGAGATTGGAGTAGTAAGCTGAGTGAAGCTTCACTTCATGAATGCATCCAGGACCAAACTCCGGGTACTCACAGTTGTCCACGAGTAGATGTAGCCATCTATGTTAAGAACTGGAAGCACATAGAAGTCCAGATTCCTAAGGAACCTGTTTATTCTTGGATTATCTTTATAGTTTTGTAGAATCTGGAAATTTAAGAGATAAACATTTGATTCTAAGAAGTTTTTTTCCTCACGATTGTCTGTGGATTTCAATTTATCACTGCATAGTACACCTCTACCCTCCAGTTTCCACCCCTCCTTAGTTATCTTATTGTTCATAGTTGTCGTTCTCAAACTTTATCATGCACCAGAATCACCTGGAGGACCTTGTAAAATAGATTGTCCGGCTTTATCTGCTTTCCTTTTACCTCCCTCTCCTCCTGAGCTTCTGGTTTACTAAATTTCAGATGAGCCAAGAATTTGTATTTTCAGCAAGTTCCTAGTTGATGTTGATGCTGTTGGTTTGGAGGCCACATTTCAAGAAGTACTTCTGTGTGCTACTTTATTTCTATACATATATAAATAAATTGAAAATATTATATGTAATACTTTAAATATTATATATCACATAAATATATAAAATTATAAATATGTATTTATATTTGGGTTTCTGAAAATACTGACACAAAAAGTATCAGATTACTTTTACAGGTTTCTTACTCCCCTAAAGGAGGGGTATAAATAATATACAAAAATTCATTGTGCTGAGTATTTTCCATATGCCAAATCTTTTAATCCACATGGCAAACCCATGAAATAGTCATTTCATACACCCTTGACAGGTGAAAAACTAGGGTTCCCAGTGTAGGAAATTTGCCCAATACTATTTAAAAGAGACAGACCCAGGGTTCAAACTCATCTATGACTCCCAAGATGTATCGTCTTTTATAGTTAGATATGTATATCCTCCAATAAAAGTGACTTTGGATGTACTAGAAAGAGATCAGGATACTAACTTTTCTTTCTTTCTTTCTTTCTTTCTTTCTTTCTTTCTTTCTTTCTTTCTTTCTTTCTTTCTTTCTTTCTTTCTTTCTTTCTTTCTTTCTTTCTTT